TGCATAGATGTTGGGAGGTGGTGGTGCATGGAGAGACAGTGAACCTGGCAGTCAGATGACCTGGCTGAACTCTTTCAAAGAAGCAAGTGCAAACATTGTAAAATGACTATAACTCAATAAAAAAGTTTAAAAAAAAAGAAAAAGTTTGATAATGTACATATGCATATTACAAAAAAGAATTTATGTTATATTCTCAATTATGTTGTACATGTATGTATATATTTACATGCATGTAAAATGTTGGATGATTAAATTGATGGTGATTTTTTATTCTTTGAGTTTTTCTGTACTAGGTCAACTTTTTGTCAGTAACACTGTATTCCTTTCATAATTAAAAATATTGTTTCGGCAAATGAAAAAAAAGGAAGCAAGTGCTTTCTTGCTTTCTTTCTGTGTGTGTGTCTGTGTGTGTATTATATATTTTTTAATTGAAGTATAGTTGATTTACAATGTGTTAGTTTCTGGTGTACCACATAGTGATTCAATTATATATATATTCTTTTTCATTATAGGTTATTATATATTATTGAATATAGTTCCCTGTGCTATATACTAGGACCTTGTTGTTTATCTAATCTGTATATCGTAGTTTGTATCTGCTAATACCAAACTCCTAATTTATCCATCCCCTACCCCTTTCCTCTTTGGTAACCATAAGTTTGTTTTCTGTTTCTGTTTTGTAAACAAGTTTATTTGTGTCATTTTTCTAGATTCCATGTATAAGTGATATCATATAATATTTGTCTTTCTCTGTCTGACTTACTTCACTTAGTATGACAATCTCTACACCCATCCGTGTTACTGCAAATGGCATTATTTCATTCTTTTTTATGGCTAAGTAGTATTCCATTGTATATATTTACCACAGCTTCTTTATTCAATCATCTGTCAGTGGACACTTAGGTTGCTTCCATGTCTTGGCTACCAAGTACTTTCTGAGACCACCTACACCCACCCATCACAGGTGGTGCAGCCATCTACCATGCAAGGCTGGATTCTAGATTACACTGGAAAGAGGTAGAAGGGGCAATGCATGGAAGCTTGTCTCTGCAAACAGTCTCCATCTTTCCTTTCTTCCCAGCCCACCTCAGGGGAGGCTCATGCATCTAATTTAAGCCCAGAAAAGGGAGACATGCCCAGCTGACTTAGCTTTCTTCTCTAGAGTCTGGGAATTCTCAGCTGGTACCA